ACAGTCCCCTTATTCATGGGAAATGGGGTGCCCAAGGCATCACCCTGCCAGGTGATATTAAAATGTAGCTCGGAGAAGCACCCCCAGAGGCTAACTGGTCGGAGGCTGCATTTCTTAACAAATCCTCCACCCCACCGGTGACTTGGGGCAGGTGGTCCAAGAATCACCAGTTATGACCCAAGCCCAGTAGATGGGGGACTAGTGCTGGGAGGAACCCTCAACTCCACCCCTCTGGCTCCAGGTCCTGCTGCAGGCCACTCTCACCCTGCTCTTGGAGGTAGAGCAGCCGGTCCAGCAGAATCAGCGTCTCTACCAGTGGGGCCAGCAGCAGGGCCAGGCTGAAGAAGGCCACTACACGGTGCTCCTGGGCCTGGTGGGCCTGCAGGGTGGCCAGGTTCAGCGGCAGCTGGGGGTCCAGCCCCACCCGCTGCAGCCCCCGCTGCACATACCTGTGGGGTCGGTAGAAACAGCACCCAGTTGGGCTTTGAGAAACTCTTACCTCCCACTTAAACCTTGCCTGTTCCTAAGGCACCCCGACTTCACTTATTTGCTGCCCGACTATGAAAGTTTAAATGCTGCTCTGTCTTAAGCAAACTGACCCAAATTTACTTTCAGCCAGTTCTGTCCTAACAGCCCTATTTTTAACATTTTTAAAAAGCCTCGTGGGGCCAGCAGGTGGCATGGTGGTTAAGGTGCTAGATTCCAACATGGCTGACTATAGTTCAAGTTCCAGACCCTGCGGCTTGAAAATCACACTGGGCACACATGCATGTGAGCCCAAAATTCTGAGACTGGAGAAGGGATGTGGCATGGCCATCCCCACTAGGCGAGGGGTGGTCATTTCTTTCTTTCCCTCTCTGTCGAGTGCACACACACACACTATTAAGGAAAAAAACAACTTGTATTTCTTTGAATCTCCTGATGAGGGACAACTCCCTTTTAAGGAAAGCTTGAGGGCCAGCAGGCAGCATAGTGGTTAAAGTGTTGGACTCCCACATGGCCAAGCACAGTTCAAGTCCTGGACCTGAAACTCATGCCAGTCGTACATGAGCGTGTGCCCAAAATCCCAGGAGGAAAATGGAGAAGGGATTGTGGTGTGGCCATCTCTCCCCTGGGGCGGTGACTTCTCACTTTCTCTCAGTTTCTCTGTCTCTCCAGTGAGTGTATGTACCTATAACAAAAATGTCTTAAAAAAAAAAAATCCTTGAGGGAGGTGACAGTAGACCTCCCTGAACACTCTGGGCCACTCACGTTCCCATAATCCACGCTGGCTGATGCTGGGGGTGGATCACAGCATGAAGACCCTGTTGGGGACACCTGTCTTTCTATTGTTCATTGACTAAATAAACAAACTTATATTTTTTGAGATGCTGCCCCAGTTAGAGAATTCGAGCTCCCCCCTCTGGGTGTGTTCAGATCTGAGGGGAGTCAGAGCTGCAGTGGGTGATGCTCCCCGCCCCGTCTCCCCCAGCCTCACTCTT